TCTCTCTCTCTCTCCCTCTCTCTCTCTCTATCTCGCCCTCTCTCTCTCGTCTCTCTCTTTCTCTTTCTCCCTCCCTCTCTCTCTCCCTCCCTCTCTCTCTTTCTTTATCTCTCTCTATCTATCTCCCTCTTCTTTCTCTCACTCTCTCTCTTCCCACTCCTAGTAAGCTATCAACAGAGCCATTAAATGATCTTGTTACGAATTCCGTACCAGAGAATCTTGAATTTGTTTGCTTGGTTAGTGTAAATGGCTTGACCACCCATTGACACAGATCTATGGGAGATGGAGAGATGAACATTATAAAAAAGGCAAAAACCCCGCTTTTTCAATAGCCAGACGGTACTAAACAGAAGGATAGCGCTCTCGGTATTCAGTACTTCAGCAAACCAACGACAAGCCTACTTTGTCACTACTTCCACTTCTGTGGCTTGTCCAGCTGTTAACACAGACGGGTGGACGGGGAGGTTGGGGTAGGGGAGGGGCGGTGGTAGGGAAGGGATGTGGGGTGTGGGGTGTGTGTGGGGAGGGGGAGGGGATCAAACAGACATATTATGGTGCTCACGTCATGAGCATAGACGAGGACAATATTACTCTTGACCGGAAGTGAGACATTTGCTTTAGTCCAGCACTGCCCACAGAGTCACAAAGTAACGTTCACCGGAGATCTGGCCCGGAAATGAGTGTGTCCGTGTGACGTCTTTTACGGCCAGTCAGTAATTAGGAGGGAAAAGGGGTGGGGTGGGGGGGTTCTGGCGACTTATGGGCGGTGTCGTGCAGAATGGGTTCAACTCTCTGAGGACATGAAAGACAGCAACAGCAGCAACAGCAGCAACAGCAGCAACAGCAGCAACAGCAGCAACAGCAGCAACGCCAATAATAGCAGGCACACAGCAACAATAACGATAGCGATATAGTAGTAGTAGTAGTAGTAGTAGTAGTAGTAGTAGTAGTAGTAGTAGTAGTAATGATGAATATTCCACCTATACAATATCACAGGTAATGGTGAGAGGACAGAAACGCTGAGACTCAAACAGTTACTGACAACAATCAGCTGTTCAAATTATGTACTATGCTCAGAAAGCAAAAAAATAGAAAGAAAGAAACTGATTTCTTCGATCATTTTTCTGCAACTGTTCAGTCAGAATGTACTTTTATGTGCTCCTTTTCAACTTTTAGAATTTGTATTTCGACAGAATATTTATTGAGCCCATTATACAACCCATACCACAGATTGCGCAACTGTAACAACAAAAATGTTTGAATAAAACAAACGAAGAAAATAAAGAAAAGAAAAGAAAAGAAGAAAAGAAAACAATAGAATAGAAAAGAAAAGAAGAAAAGAAGAAAAGAAAAGGAAAGAAAAAAAGAAAACGGTTGATTAGAAAAGAAAAGAAAGAAAGAAAACAATAGAATAGAAAAGAAAAGAAAAGAAAAGAACCTTTTGGGCTCAACACATCTGATCAGCAGCTGGCTGACGAAATATTTGAGTTTGGCCTACCTTTTTCTGGTGGCCAGCATATAGCTGGCGACAACCCCGCTCGACATGGTGGAAGGTTCGAGTGTCGACTTCCTTCAACGTGAAAGTACAAATCCGTCCTCTGAGGGAGATGGATCGGCGTTGTTTGGCGTAGTGATAATATCCTCTCCGCACAGTCGCTCCAAGATGGCGCTTGTGTGAAGTAGGATCTTTGCTGAGATCTCCTCACAGTTGAATTTCTTTGTGGCGAAGTAATCCAGTGAATCCCCACAGAGACCTTCAATCTATCAGCTACTATAAAGAGTTTGGCTATCTAACCCAAATAATTCAACTCAAGAGTTCTAAAAAAAAAAAGAAATAATAACGTCGGAATTATGAAAATCAGATCAGTTTTCAAACAAAATCTACCTTTCTTTGAAGGTAGATTTGTTTCTGTATTCTTTTCTTTTTAAATATGTGGTGCAAAAATGGTTTTTAGACCTACGAAAGAAATTATAAATCCCACCTAATGTGTGACTAGAATGATAAAGGGCACTGCAAGCTGTAGATTGGCTGCAGAGACCAAAATTCCACTTTTGTCCGAATTGTTGAAGGCAGTGTTTTCAAATTAGAATGTTGCCCTTGAACACGTTTTCCTGTTGGTTCAGTTGTCTAGGCGCCACGACCTGCAAACATAAGATTAGTATTATAGTTTAGTTTGGTTTGAGTAAAATAGGGATGTGTGGATAATATTAAGAACTGTCATTTAGTCATTTATTCAAAGATATAATATTTATTTAAAACCCAAAACGAACAACAAGAACAACAACTGCAACAAGAACAACAACAACAACAACAACAACAGCAACAACAACACCACCACCACCACCACCACCAGCAACAATAACAACAACAACAACAACAACAGCAGCAGCTACAACAACAACAACTACTACAGAAAGGGGGGAGGGAGGTAATGAAGCAGGAGCTACCAGTGGCGCCCCCCAACCACCAATGAAGCGTGGTATAGTTAATGGAAGGATAGGAGAAAAAAAAAGTTTGCTGGAGTGATACAAAACAACGCAGGCCCTTTTTTTCTTCTTCTAAACTAGATTAATTGTAAAATATAACGACAAAATTTTAGATAGATCGAAGCAGAATCTCTACTTACATATATTATGTCTTTTACTTTCTTTTGCAAATTATGAGAAACGGTTTTATTCAACAAGAAAACAGTCCTCGTCTCTGAAAGCACACCCTCTGAAATTGCAGAAACTTATAGTTACAGTCTAAAGATAATGTCTTGCTTTTTCAAAAGTGTGCTTAAACTCAGTGCGAATATCAACAAAAAAGAAAAAGAGAAGAATAACTAAAAAACAACACAACACAACACAGGAATCGAACTCACGTCTAATATGCAACGGTTAAGGGGTTATAACCACTACACCACATACAGACCACACTCTGTCTATATTAAACATCATGTTACCAACTTTCCGAGTCAGCCGGGAACGCCCACATTTCGTCAGGAAATAACAAATTACTCAGGTACTGAGGTGTCCTCTGGATCGATGACAACGAGAGGTATGTCCTCTGCGGCAACTCACCGTGACAAAGGAAACATTTCCCCAGGTACGCACAAGTTTTAGTAGTTTGTAAAATGTTACGTGTAGACTGTGTTCTTTGTGTTGCTTGCTGTGGGCATTGAGGAATGGAGAGAGATGGTATGGAGGGAGTAAAGAGTCTATGGTATGGCTGCTGGACAGGACGACAGATCGATGGATCGATGAAGATGTCAAGATGATTGGGGTGATCAGTTAGTCAGGGTGGGGTTGGGATA